TGAACAGGCCACCTTGTCTGGAACCATACTACTTTTTAGAGAAGAGCTCTTCATAGATAATGGCGGATAGAAATTAGAAAAACTGTCATTCACTCACCAAATAAGCTACGAAAATCACATAGAGTGTGGTTGGAGCACCTAAGAGTGCTAAAACGAACCACTCCGTACTCAACGAAGAAGTGACATAGTCGAATATAAAGTACACGTTGATACTCAGGATTATGGTAGTTGCTATCAGAGCAAAAAATTGAAACGACCTGCAAAAGTTACACTGCAACGTTATCAATTACTACAATGCCAAGGAGAGTGAAGTGTGGTGCTTCATAAAAGACGTTATCACTAAAAAAAACCTGCAGCGCAGTTCCTGAACACATCAGTTCCAGAATTCTGGCGTGTTTTTATATTCATTTCTTTATTGTTTTTTATTAGTGTATTTTTCTTCAGGCCTTTCTATCTGCGTAAGAATGAAAAAGTCGAGGCAAAAATATCGAGTGCTTGGCTACTGACGGCTACTGCCATGGTCAAGTCTCGATTTGGCTAGAAACACTGCAGATGCCGAAGCCCTTGAAGCCACGAGTCGCGATCATCTTTGGAGAAATTCTATCCTAGATGAGGTAGGAGGGCCTCTAGTCACGTTAATAATGGTACGCCGCGACTTAAACAGCACCACCGGATCAAATTTTTATGGGGTCGCAGCAGTCGACAATGGAGTTGCGGATGCCGAGTTGAGTAAAAATCAATAAAGAATCAAAGAAAATCGTCGAAGAAATCCCAAACAAGGTTTTCCCTTGAAATAAGAAAAAGGTGGGGCCAGGCGACTCCCACCAACTTGCCTAGTCCACGAACTACTAACCTGCATGTATTTGAATCAGCCGCTACGCCGTAATCCACGTGTCTTTCATGGGTGTGCGCGACGTAACTCGTCCACACATTGGGAGTAGTCACAATAGTTCCTTTGTAAGACCCTAGCGCCATTGTCGCGCACTTTCGAGCCGCATCAACGGCACATCTGTGATACTTGTGGGCTAGCCTATCCCACCCACCGAATAGATTCTTCGACACGACTTCTGCTGGGGGTGTTGCTTCAAGAGAGCTAATGCCTTCGCTTGAACACTGCGACCGCTGCCATTCTTATCAATTCCAACATACGTGCTCTGCGCCCTCTCACGTACGACGTGCTCCCTCGTGTCTCCTCTGTGTGTCGCTGCTTCGTGCCAGTAGTGCTTTTTGTTTTTTCACTAACATTCCTCTTCGCAATTCTTGTCTAATTCTGGATCGAAAGAGCACACTAAATCGAACGCGACCTGTGCCTTTAAGCCGTAACCGTAGTGGTAACCCACAATGAGTTCCTTATAGGATTCGATGCAAAGATATCTTCAAATTGACTAGTATTCATTGTGAGCGGACCACCAGCGACGTGAATTTTCAGCGAATTTGCTGGATTAGGCTGCTCAGAATTGGAATAGCTTTCTCAAAAGCTACTATTAACACCACAACACCGTATGCCTAGCTAAGATACGAACCTTAAGGAAATTTCAAACTCCAAAAAAATACCCTAAAATCCCATAGATAAGAGCGGTTTAATTTACCGGTGAAAAATGAATTGGAATGAAATTGAAATTGAATGCAGTCACCCCTCTAACTTGATGGATGGATAAATAAAAATCGGAGAAGAAGTTTAGAAGAAGCTCCGTCCCTCAACTCTAAACCCCGCCCACTTAATAAACAATTCATATAGAAAAATAGCGATTTTAACGGAATTTCTGCCGGAATCTCTCTAGAAATGCCGGAATTTGATCTCTGGATAGAACTTGAAGAGCCCATTCGATCAGTAAAATTCCATAGATAAGAGCGGTTTAATTTACCGGTAAAAAATGATTTTGAAAAAATATTTTTATTTTTATTTTATTTTTGAAAAAATATCTATGGACCGCTCTTATCTATGGGATTTTAGGGTAGTAAATTCGTAATTATACATACTTCGAGCTCCTGAAGTCGTGCATAATTTTTCGACTTGATGTGAATGTGATGATCGGAATCAAAGCAAACGGCAACTGAACCATTTGAATGCAGTTCAGGAAGTCATTCATACCTAAAATGCATGATCGATTGACTAAATTACGTGAATTATTAATTTTGATGTTCAAGGATTAAGCGGTTTTTCGGTCACTAGTCGGTCTCTCCTCATTTGTGCTTACATTGTCAACACCTTTTACTCACTGAGAATAAGGATGGCTACAGAACGACGCGTGGTGCTCATTCTATGAACGCGTCAGTTTTTCCTTCGAAACAGATATTAAATCAGATAAAGTTTCTCTGTGTGAGGAAAGGTTTGTAAAGCTTGTGGGACAATGAGATCTGATACTGCGCGTGACAGTGGAACCACTTGTTTTTGTTCACTTATACCTGTGTTTAAGGTCCAAAACTGACCGGTTAAACTACGAACTCCGTTGGCGACAAACGTCACCGCTAGCGTTGGTAAGATGGCAATGGCTCGAGTTACCAAAACCCTCTTCCATTTTGGCCAGGAAACTTGGATGAAGCCCTAGAATACGACTTATACGAGTAAAGACACAATGAGGGTGTATGATTGGTAATTCTTTTCACCTCCATGACAAATTGCCCAGCATATGTTCCTGTCATCGTTGAACTCTGACCGGCGGCAAATAATTCCGATTGCCCAAACATAGAGGGCTGCCAAACCAAATTCACATCCAAGGAAGATTCCAGCCTTAATCAGATTTCGTATTCGCCGAGTCTTGGCACACTGATAAAAGATTAAGCGGATTATTTAATTTAAGATTATTTAGCGCTGCACAGCCGCGTTCCTACAAAGATGAACTTGAAGACCCATTGCACTCTCCATTTCAAGGCTCGCCTGCTCAAGAATGGAAAGAGAAGAAGGGTGGGCCGCTGTAAAAGGGAAAATAAAAATTATTCGTCGAAATTACCGATATGTGGTGCTTCGCTAGCTGAAATTCGGATGAGTCAACAACACATAGCCAGTGGAAGTGGGTGCATGCGGAGGATCATACGAAGGGGCATGAAGGATGTGCAAAAGTGAGACATTACGATGCCTGATAGGGACCACTGCATTGCAGTCAAAGCTGCAGCGGTCCTAAGCAAAATGGAAAGGACCACAACGCTTTCGCCAGGCAATTTTTTCAACGAAAATGGCACCTATTCTACTTCGGTGGACAGCTCTTCCACGAAGGGATTGACTCACCTCGCTTAATTTTGGAATAGTATGCCTACAAAAGAGGATGAGCCAGATAGGAAACTCGAAGCATTTGGGAGCCAATCTATCAGTGTGCTTCTTTCAAGTGCTATTCAGGAGAGCGCTCTTTTTAAAGTCCAATTGGCTTGTTAGTTTCCATTGTTTGCAAAGCTTCTTCGAATGGTTTGTTGAAATAGGAGACACAGCGTACCTTGTAAATATCCGAAGTTGCAGTCTCGTTATTGTATGGGAACGCATACGGGTCGAATATTCCATGTTGAGCATCACAAGAGGTACGCTAGACTAATTAAGGTATTTAATTTAGTAGAGGTTCTCTTCAGGCAATGCTGGGTAAAAAACTTACCACTTCGTAGTTTGTTTTGTGGTAGAATCCGTGGGCGAATACCGCCACAACAAATACGTTTATGAAGAAACTGCATGTTAAAGCAATAGCAGATTCGACCGTGAAGTAAAAATTTGCTTCAGCTACCCGTTCTCTCTTGGCGCGATCCACCCGTCGTGACTGAAAGCGACAATAAGCGAAATAGGCTTCACGACTACTACGCTTAGCTTTTTAATAGTTTATCATCTACCGTAGCTGAGGTCACTCTCGAAGCTTCTCCGTGATAGCTATATAGAGCCGGGTGGCTTACTCTTGAATCACAATGTCAATTCCACAAGAAGCATCTCGAAGCCATCATCTTCTAAGAATGGCGTCGCAGCACAGAAGCTATGGAAATCGTTCACAACATCAACGGCGCATTTGGGAAAAGGACATCACTCTCCATCAGTAGTCTCAAACGCTGGTACGTTTGCTTGAGAGGAGAAGACCGAGCTTAGTAGACGATCTTAGACGCTCCTACAGAGTGGGAAGGCTCCGCAAACTTCCAAAGAAGAATCCGTAGGTTAGCACCCGCAGTCTTGCGATGAGACTTGGGTGTGCCTGCCCAGCCATCCTCAGCCGCGTTCACGCCCTTGGCTGCAATAACTGCAGACCTGATGGATCCCTCATGTCTTGACCGATATTAGGCGACACTCGGATCCATTCATCAGCTTCTCCTTCTCCACCTGCTCCGAAGGAAGTTTCCGGGAGACAACAAAGCAGGAGAGCTGGTTTCTATCATTCGAACACGCGTCGTGCCGTATGACTCTCTCAAGCAGACCCGCTGATGCAAGCCAATTGGACGTCCACTGAGGGTCAACCGTCGCGTTCGCACTTTTCAAACATTTTGCGACCTCACTTCTCCCCTTCTCCGACCACCACCCTCGCCATGGTTGTTTCTACAGTATTTGATTCTGAGACCAGTACACACACCCAACCTCCAACCTTGTACCTAATTCACGTCCTTTCGTAGGACTTTCACCAAATTCGTCAAAAAACCCGTCTAATTAGCAACCCTTTTTAGCTATCTCCGTTCGCACTTTTTCAAGAATCATTCGCCTCGCTCAATCCAAAATGCGACCCCCCTTCCCGAAATCGCAAATGCGACCCCCTCGTTTGAATAGTGCGAACGGACGGTTGACACTGCCTCCACCCCAAGAAGTGTCTCATTTGCAGCTTTTCAGATTCGCTAGGAATGTTGTATTAGGACATAGAAAATAAATAAAAAGAAAAATTAACATACCTTAACCAAAGCTGAGTGT